ATCATTCAAATCAGGTGAATGATATTTTGAATCAAAAATGATTGTCAATTCTAGATAGACTTTCACTCTCATATCCTCATTTTGAGTGTTCAGCACATTGAATTCAATGTTCGACGTGGCAAATAGTTGTTTTCTGATGAATATTTCGAAAAATATTATATACATATTAATTTCCATCTGACAGAGAATGCCGTTTCTCAATTTCAAGAAACCTTATTCTCAGATTCTTATTGTATGTGTTCGATAGATATAATTCAATGTTCGTCGTGACATGAAGCCAGGAAATTAGTTGTTTTTTGTTTTATATGGATGAAAATCAGAAAATATACCAATTCATGTCCCAACGCGATTAAGAATTGTTAGTATCTGAGAAGGACATCAATAATAATTATTTGAAACTATAGTATGTTAATTGTCTCTTCAATTAATAATAATAATAATAATAATAATAATAATAATAATAATTCATTCACAACTATAAATATGCATAATACATTTCATAAATCAGATAATCAATATTAGTTGCAAAAAGGGGTTGAAAACAATTAAAATTGATTCTAGTTCAACCCCTGGAATTATATAATTTAAAAAAATAAAATATTTCCGCAATGTAAATGTTACTAAGTTGGCTGTTGGAGATTGAAAATCAGTTAATACTTCATGTATATAGTTCAGTATTTCATGACGAGATTCTCGTATGATTTTTTAAAAGTATCCGGTTTCAAAGATTTCATCTCATATGGCAGGTCATTAAATAATTTAAATACATTATAAGTAAATGATCGTTGGAAATGCTGTGTTCGATGAGGTGGGGGGGAAATATAACTTTCGAATCTTAAATTCAACGTATGTACATCAGTTCTGTATTTTATTTTATTACATAAATAAGGAGGGCATTTGGTGAATATAATATTATGGAATAAATTCACTGCATGGATTTTACGTCTTTCTTCCATGCTCAACCACTGGGTTTCCTTCAATTTGAAGGAGATACTTTCATATTTGCTAATGCCATAAATGAATCTTGAGCACGATTTTGAACTTTCTGGATTCTTTCACTATCTTTTTTATCTATACACGGTCCATATACAGCATCGCAGTAATTAAAGTGGCTCAGCACCAGTGAATCTGTTAATTTTATTTTCAATGACTCTGACAACAAATGGCGATTAGGGTACAACATTTTCAAGCTACCAATACGCTCGTTGTATACATTTATCAACGTGCGGCTTGAAACGTGAATGAGTATCAAATTCGAGACCGAGATTTCTTGAATTTTTGGAGCACTGCAAAGAATTATCTTGAATTTTAACACTTAACACCGATTCTACCAACTGCTTCTGTCGACCGAATATTAATACTGATGACTTTGATGCATTCAATTGTAAATTATGGTTATCTGAAAATGCGATTAATCGATTTAAATCAGAGTTAATTTTATCTTGAGCTAGTTGTTTATCGCTTGGGAAAAAAGACAAATATAAGTGTGTCGTCTGCATATAAATGAACAGAACAATGCATCAGGCACGTTGTTAAATTACATGTGTATATACCAAACAAAAGAGGGCCAAGTATTGGACCTTGAGGAACTCCGCATACTGAATGTTGTTTCGTTGAAACACCTTTGCTGGTTTCTACAAATTGAAGTCTGTTTGTTAGATAATCCCTCATTAATTCGATCGCATTCTCAGAGAATCCAATGAAATGTAATATAGATATCAACAAGGAATGATTCAAGATATCAAATGCTTTCGAATAATCAAGAAGCACCAAAGCTGTTGATTTTCCCTGATCTGTTGCTCTTATAATGTCATCTGTGATATTTAGTAAAGCAGTGGTGCAACTGAATCCTGGTCTGAATTCTGATTGATTTTGTGGCAATATATTGAAAGTATTCAGATGTTCCCTGATTTGATAATCCATAATTTTCTCAATAACCTTCGACAAAACTGGTAAGATGCTAACAGGTCGTAAATCGTTATAGGCAGACGGATCTTTTTTTTTGGTAATGGAATAACTCTGGCGATTTTCCAGTCATCTGGAAAGATGTTATCCAAAATACAGGAATTCACTATATTGGTGATGAACGGAAGAATTCTTGAACAACATAGAAGGATCATTTCTAAAGTTATCTGATCTGACTTTATGGCAGTAGAGGTAACCTCTAATAGATATGTTTTAACCGTATCTACAGAAACTGTATGAAAACTAAATAATTCCACAAAATCAGTTTTAATGTTGCTTTTATAATAATTCAAGACATGATCATCAGGAGGAGTGTTTCTTGTAGAGAATTGTAGAAAATGTTTGTTTATATCTTCTGGAATATCGAGTTGACTCGGCATCTCTACATGCTGAGTTTTTGTATAAATATTATTTTCCTTCAATGTTTTCCAAAGTTCCTTCGAATTGCTGATATTATTTGTTATGCAGTGCTCTAAGTAACTCTTTTTCTCATTATGCAGGGCAATATTGGTTCTATTTCTTACTTGCTTATAATAATTAAAATTCGCATCAGTTTTTGGTTTGATATATTTTTTGTATGCTCTCTCTTTAAGCCTTATCATTACTTCAAGATTATCTGTTAACCAACCTGGCTTTTTTTTTCTGACTTCAAATTCTCTAACAGGTGCCAAGATATCGAATATTTTAAGTAATATTTCATTCAAATATGACACTTTTTCGTTAACATTTGGTAAATGGATCATAAATTCAAATGGAGCGTTGCCCAGAAATGTTTCTAGGAGGTCTCTATCAATATTTTTCAAATTTCTTGTTTTTGATTTACGATTTCCGTTCTCCACTTCCTTATTCAAATTGCAATATACCAGCGAGTGGTCTGACATATTTGAAGTATCTATAGTACCACTTGTGAAGTCGATCTCGTTCGTGGAAATCAATATGACATCCAATAGTGTATCGCTATTGTTTGTTATACGAGTTGGATGTGTAATAATCTGTTGCAGGTTAAATGTCTCAATAGTGTTTTGAATTTTTTCTGCATTTTGTGCCTGTTCAATTAAATTAATATTCAAATCTCCCCCGCATATTATCTCGTTAGAGCAATATTCAGCTAGACGATCTTCAAAGATTTCAATAAAATCAGTAACCTTACTTTGAGGCGGTCTATATAATGAACCAATAATATAAGAAACTTCCTTTATTTTGATCGATACCCATATTTCTTCTAGATATACCTGCATTGAAGTTCTTAAAATATTGAATGTCAAGTTATCTCTAATGTACATACCTATGCCCCCACCTCTTCCTTCCCTGTCCTTTCTTATAAAATTATATCCTTCAATTTCAACCATATGATCTGAAACATTCGGTGTCAACCATGTCTCTGAAATACCTATTATATCATATTTTTTATCAAGAATCAACATCCTGAAATCCCTGGAACGTAACAAAAGTGACCTAATATTAGAATGCTACTGACATTTTCTTCATAGTGAATAACAGCCAAAAAAATATATATATTTCCAGTTGATGACAAAATTCTAATTCTAATGAAAATAATCTTCTTCCTTCTAGTTTCTTTCCACTTATAGTTCCGGCTCTATTGAGCTATTTTCAATACATCATCTTCACTCCTCAGACATATTTTTTTCCCATTTACTTTTGTGTAGATTCGACCCTGCATCGTCCAAACCATTTTAGGACCGATTTTTTCCTTGGCATACAGCAGAATTTCGTGTCTAGCTTTGGTTAAGTCCTCAACCAATGTTATTCTGCATCCCTTGAGTAGTTTCTTAGAATCATACGCTAGGGTACGTTCCTGGATATTTTCAAATTTGATAATAACGGCTCTCGATTTATTTGGATTTGGATTTCCTATCCGGTAGCATTGTAGTAACTTGACGTTTTTCATGCCCATTTTAGAAATTAAGATATTTTCTATTCTCGGCTTTAGGTTCTCTTCCCGTTCTTCTGTTATGCCGTATATCCTCAACTGGTCAAGTTCAGACTTCTGTTCCAGCTCATCAATTCTTATCATCAGATTTTCGTTGTCACCTTGTATATGAGCGATTTTCGTTTCCAGCGTATCTATTTTTGTTGCAAGATCCTCTAATCGTCTGTTCACTTTTTCAGAAACCTTATCAGCTAATTTATCTGCCAAGCATTCTAAAAAACGACCATCGCCCATCAAATCGTGTACAATTTCTTTCGACACTTCTTTGGCTATGTTTTTGTATTCAGATTTCTGCCTCTCCGTCAAACCCATCATTTATGATTCGATGTAATTTGATTGATTATCAGTAATAGTTGGAACAACTTACTGCTTCGTGATTATTATTTGACATATATCGACACTTAACACACTATTCTATTATTTGGCAAATTTTCACACAGGAATTCACCAATTTACTCAATATATCGAGGACACAAGCCGGAGCTATTAAATTCGTGTCTATACACTACGGAAGCTCATCTCTCAAATTCAATTAAAAGCAGAACACGTGTTCTTCTGAAACTTGAATCACTGATCGAATCCTAGGTAGGATAATTTTCCTGTCGGTAAAGTGTTTCACCGTGACAATATCTTCAACTTGTGAACTAACGGAGGTGAATACGCATGTGGGCGATATACGTCGGTATACGTAGGTATCTTGTCGGTGACTCAAAATATCAGTTTTGAGGTTTCACATCCGTTCGAAGCGTTATCGCTTGCAATTTAAATCGATCAATATTTACTCATAGTGCAAGTTTCATCAATTTTCATCTACGATATTTGTATTCTTCCACATCACCCTCACAGGCGTGAACTTGTCATCCTATTAATTATTATTGTATATTGATTATTATCTGCCATTAATATGACGCTGTATCGCAAGAAACGAGGCTAGATATAATCATGGCAGTAACCTCTCTGTTATCTTGATGGAGAGAAAACCTCTCTCAACTAATCATCAGCAGCTTTCAATGTATTTGATTGAACAGATTGAATATCAGTGGATTGTATTCCAACGTCTGATTCATATTTTTTATGTTTCAAGGCACCAGAATTTCATGCTGGATGGGATGATGTCCTGAATGCTACACAGAATATCAAGTCCTGCTATCAATTTTCGTTTCCATCTTCATCCAAACTGGAAGCGAATCCAGTCATTGAAACTGAAGACTGCTTGATCCTCAACGTCTTTACACCAGTGGTAAGTAAATATTTTGGTTTGAAAGAAACCTCTCAGATTCAATATCAATTATTGAATAGGAGAAATCGAAATGAACCTCCAAAGTTGAACTGATATCGATCACTGTTTTCATATGAGAGCATCTGGATAAACGAAATGGTGATATTGTTTTTTTTTTCTTCCTAAAATAACCTCGAGGGGCTCATAAGTCATCATTTCTAAAAATAGCGACTGAGATGTTCAATTCACAAGTGTGCATAATGGAAGTTCTGTGGAGAAAATGTGCGAGTATTTGGTGCTGTTGAACTCAACATTTTCACTCTTGACGGTACTCGAACGTGAGGACAGCTTTGGAGTGAAAAATCCCATCAATTTTCCAGATAGTCCTAGAGACTATGGCCTGTTTCATTTGAAATATCAGAAATTCTCATGTTAACAGAAGATATCTGCTGCCCCACATTATTTCAAACTCTCAATTCGGGATTCAACGACCAATTCTCACATCGACGGAAAAGGAAGCAAGGTAGGAAGGGACCAAATTTCACGAGGAGAAAAAAGTTTATTTATCAGTACTACCAACCATAACCAAACGTTTCAGTAGCGCGTTTTGGTGGACAATGAATAATGTAAGCTCTCATTGGATCAGAATGAGGTAATCAACATATGTGATGTATGACACCCCGACTAGGCATCATTCTCAAATAACAACAAGAATATTGAACAATATTGTGGAAAGAGAAAGAGTCTCCAAGTCGTCCCATGATCATTTCGCTTCACTTCGTGTATCGATTTCTCCAAAAGAGAAATATATCATTGTTGATAGGTTGTCGGTGTTTCTCAAAAACTGGATGATTGAATTGCCAATTTGAAGTGACAAAATATTAACACTACCTTGAATAAAAGGAAATCGGTTTTATGCGTTCAGTGCGAATGATTCATTTTATTTTCTGAAATTCTCGAAGTTCTTTGCTTCCTTGTCATGATGATTTCCAAGGAAAAAATTCGATGAATGAAGAGAATCACAAAGTTCTGGAACTTCATTGAGGCCTCTGGATCCATCTCAAAGAACATTTCCCTCAATAAACTGAGGTGGAATAGGTGGAATATAGGCCAAACCAGGCGACCCATAAAAACAAGGTTCAAAGAACACATAGCTCATTTGAAATATGGCAGGTTAGATGAATCTTGTGTAGCCGAACATATGTTCAATCACAATCATAACACACATATTACTAACCTCAAATTAGTTAAGCAAGTTAATAACATTAGAAAACTAGACGCATATGGAAGCTTAGAGATGTTCAAGAATAGGTAGTAATAGAGTAATGAATAAGGATAATGGACCTATTCCATATAGCCCTCTATATAGTTAAGTGAAATAAAAATTTAGATTAGAACATGTGAACTCAACCATGACAAACAAACTTGACGGTTAGTATTTTTCACAGTTGGGTGAACATATACCTAGTATATAAGCAGCACACTAAAATAGGATATTCAGTTTCAATCTTCTCCTGAAGATGCTAACATAGTAAGCGAAACACGTGTCGAGGCGTTAGAAAATCGGTTTGGTAAGTGGTAAAACAGTGTAGTGTATTAAGAAGATTGGTTGTTACTGTCTCTTTATGGTAATCAATTATGTCAATCCGTCCGGTCCGTCGCATTTCGTAGAAAAGTTGCATGCACTAGTATACCATAGTCGTAGTACCGGAAAACCATTATTCATCAGAATCCCTGATTCTTAAATGGGTATTGTAAAGTATATTATACAATTACACTGCGCCGGCAGCTTTTCATCGGCGGCATATGAGCGTGGATTTTTGAATTTGCTATCCTGATAGATGACAAAGTAAAATTTACAAAAAAGTTCCAGAATTATCAATTTGATATTTAAAATTGTCGAATGTATATTTCAATGGTTCTCTCAGATAGTTGCTCATCTAGGAAGAAACAGAAACCTGTAATATATGGATCGAGAGAGAGAGAGATGTCAGTAAAAAGTAGAAAATCTGTGGAATAGGTATTTACAGTTTATTGAAAAATAAGTCATTCTAGATTATTTACAAATGGTAGATGAAAGGGTAGATGTATTATATATTATACTCATATTATGTTTCAAGTTGATATTGGTACATCATAAATATGATGAAATTACTTCATTGACAGTTTAGTTCAAATTCTAGAAAGAAACCCACTATGAATATTAGTTGTCATTGAATATTGCTAAACTTCAAGGAAATTTCCTGAAAATTCATGAATTTTATGAGGAGAAGCTATACTGTAAAATTGCCTGTTGTGAGCTAGTATTAAGGATATTGGAACTTTCAAATAGGGCTTGAACATTTCGAGTGCACTTTTGAAATATGAGTTGAAGGTATGAGTATATCTTTGTACCTTGATTATTCTGACTTTAATGAAACATATAACTGAAAAAACCTGATATTATCCAATGATGACGTCATGGTTTTGTTCATCATCAGGTAGAAAGCTGAAGTGGATAGTAGACTGGTAAAAACTTGTAGACTAGTTGACTAGGAGACTGCAAAACTGCCAGACTATGATACTGCACATCTTTGAAGCTAGTAGACAGCAAAACCTTGAAAATTGTAGACTGCAAAACGGTGGAGTTGGCGAGTGCAAAAACTGCGAAGTTGGAGACTGCATGAAGGTGGTGATCTGTGGCCAGCCTACCACATGGAAAATTGGGATGGCCCTTGCACAGCCATATCAGCCCAATCGAAGCAGGATGGGATAAGGAATGAGCCCATATGTAAAACCCTGAAATTGATTAGGTAGGTATCAGAACCTGGTCTCAAAAAAATGAGAGGTAACTCTCGTCGTATAAAATGAAATAACTCACCTCTGGGGTATAGAGGATTTTACCAAATCGTGAATCCAGATGAATGAGTGACTCCCAGGATGACCGGTTGAGCAGCATTGGTGTCTATTGAAAAAAAAAATACTTCCTCAAGCACGTGTTTGGAGAAATTCTCGAATGGAGACTTCCATCCTGAATACGATTGAAATATTGTGTAACGATATTAAGATGAGAGTTTGAAATCTTACCATCACGCCGAAACATAATTTTTCCTAGATGAGGCTAGGTGCCTATGCAAAATTTCAGGATCTTCCAGGAGCCTGACGAGCCAACACGTGGATCAGCCAGCAGCAAAATGGCCCAAAAATGATCTCTCCGGAAGAAAGAACTTGACCCTGACATTGAACTTGACCCAGGCATTGAACTTGTCAAAAATCGTCAATATCACGAAACATTAAAAGTTTAAATTGGGACCAATGAACGGAACTGTCAACGAATGAGCAAATGAAGTGTCTCGTAGCAGTATTTTTAATTGCACCTGTACACTAAGGCTGTTGCTGATGTGACCTTGAACCATACGACTCTGCTCCGCCTCGAGCTAGATACTCACGAACATAACAATAGACCCAGAAGGTCTCGTGGTGATTGGAAATTGATGTCATAGCGAATGAAGAATAAGAATGTATCGAAGCAAGAAAAGAGTGACAGTGGCTAATAAAGAAGAATTGGTGAACCATAACCAAGACGTGAACATTGGATGATTCAATTTCAAAACAAAACGAATATAATTGGATCACTTAAAAATACCCAGGCCCATTCGATTCTACAATATGTACAATTTATCCACAATAGAGGTAGGTGCAAGCAGTTTTCTGATCAAACCTATATTTGATTTTCATAATATGGTTGAATGCCATTCTGATAGAAACCATGTTAATTTTCAGTGCCTGCATCATTGAAATCAAGTAGACTATAGAAAACAATGTGTATTCGAAGAAGACAACACTGTGTGTTCAACAAGAAAGGTAAGGTTTTTTCAAGTAGGTACCTAGAATTCATTAAATGATGTTTGTGTTTGTTTTCTAGTTATATTATATCACTGACTAATTTATTATTTCTTTCTGTTTCAGTTCACTACCTGTGAGCGTTCTGTTGAATACAAGATGATAAGTGATATACAGGGCGCTTTGATATTAGATGTTGAATTCTGAACTATGTCAACTGAATTTATCAATAAAGGTTTATAAATTCGACAGTGTATATCTACAGAGTTTCTCTAGTGTTTTAGTAGAAAATACACACATATGCGCTGCTGACAGCGATGGCCCGGCTATTCACCGCCTATTCATTTTTGCTGGGGTACTTGGATATGAATAAGTGGGTTCACTTTTCCATCATGTGTGCTTGGCTTGTTTGACATTCGATGTCAATGCAATTCAAATACAACTCGTGGATTCTCGTTTTCATCAAGAATATTATACATTGTATGTGAAAATAATAGTGTATTTAATGATCAGGTTTTGACTATCGACCAATACAATCGAACACGGTTCACAACACTCGCGCTATCACTACAAGATTCTTGCATAAATTACCATTTCTGTACAGAATGATTCAAATTACTGATATTATACCTGCAAATATATCAGAATATTGTGATTTTCGTGTCGATCAAAAAAGTTCATGATTAACATTCATGATTAACAATACTATCAACCACTGCGCATACATCACATCATATTCCACAATGCACTTTCCATTTCGAACTGAAAATGTTGTACTGGAAGTGACAATTGCCAGTTCACAGCTACAAATTCTAAGTGATGATTGTCAATTCAAAGTGACAATCGTCAGTTCGAAGTGGATTTGGCTCGTTCGAAGTGAGAATCGTCATAAAAAAGACAATTATTGTCATTGTTGGAATTCATTCTGCTGTTAGCAATTCTATGCATAATTTGATTCCTAGCATCCTATAATATCCCAGTTATTGAAAGTGCAATCACCTTGAAATATTGGTAATAATTTGGATTCTTATCAGCATCCTCGAAACTATCCAATTCATTTCTCGAAATCTCAAGATCTTATATTGAAGAATAATTATTCGATAGAAATTTGTCTTACTTTTTAGTTCGAATGTCCTAGTCAATACATTCCAAATACCTCCATTCCGTATCGTTGAATCAATAATCTCATGAAATACAAATGTATATTTTCTGAAAGATCGCACAAGTATCAAAATTTTAAAGAAGCTTGATCGTAGTATCAGAGAAGTTTCGACTGCAATGAATTCGAAGTAAAAGTATGGAAGTGTTTTAAATGCAAAAGGACACCAAATTGAAAATATTGAATCAAACAACCAGAATTCATCGATGAAATTATTGATATCAATTACCTCAGAATGAAAGTACGCCACAAACTCAAAACTATCGTGAATTTTAATTTTTTACTAACTTGTCACTTATAACTATAGCATTGTATCTGAGCATATCCTATTCGAATTCCTTCTGTCTCCAAATTCTGACAACAATTCAATTCGTAAATGAGGATGAGTACAATTCTTCTTTCCTCTCCTTCCTATTCTGTCTCTTTCTCAATAATCGGAGAATGCAAAATTTTCCATGTCATGAACGAATCAGTGGACACTCATTCTCGTCCTTCGAATATTTATTCAATGAAGGATAACTGGATTACAAGGAGATATACCCAGGGTGGCTAAAATTCGAATCTCATCATTGGGATTTCGTGAATTTTCCGTCTCCCAGAAACCATCATAAAATGATTTTGCATAGATACGGAGATGTATTTTTTGTCCTCATCTTCGGATAGACCAAGAGCGATGAACCATCACAAATCTTCATTTTCGAATGTTCTGCTCGAAAAATCTGAGAGAGTATTGAATATGGAAAAGAATACAAAAACTGTCAGTTTTTATGAAGATTCGATAATGAGAATGCGTGATAACTCTTAGTTTCTGAGATATCTCAAGGTGTGAAAGAGTGGAATGAAATATCCTCATTCAAATCAAAGATAAAAGGAGTTTTTGATGGTATCTTGAAGAAGAATCCAAATTCGAAGAAGCCAACTTGTAGGGAAGCAAATAGTGGCCATAACAAAATGTCTTTCACTTCGAATTCTGTCTCAAAATAACTTGTTGAAGAACATGGTTCACCTCCGGAAGTATTCGGATTTTTCCGAGTATAAAAACGGCATTCTGTTAGCCATCAAATGTCACAACTTTGCTGTACTCAATCGACATTGTATCTCCCATGATATTCACATCATGATGCTCAAATTACAGTCACCTCATACCAGATGTAGATGTCACTGAATTTCTGCAGTTTTCCATCGTGATATCGATACATTCACAATCAAAATAATTTAAAAAATTGTGAGTAATTCTGTTTTTCGTGTGTCTGCCAAAGTGTGTCGTCATCGTTTTCATACAACTTCAGATTATCCTTCAGATAACAACATCCTCTTTTTCTAGTGGGTAGGACTATCTTTTCAATGTCATATTCGATTTCAATAGATCGTTGATTCTCTTGATTGAACAACATTGTATCATCATGAAATATCCAATATGGCTACCTATACGACCTCTTTCCACACATGATATACTGGAGTAGTTATTTATACAACTCGCACTCTTGAATTAGACGTTTGATTGGTTTGCTTTGTGCCCACGTGTCAGCTACGCAACCCATTTAACGCTTTTGTCCGTTAAATTGATTCTCCAGGAATGCCCTGAATGTCCAGGAGAGGCATTCTTTGAATAATCATAAGACGAGTCTATGCTGTCTCTGTATAGTCGCGTTTTTCACTTGATGTAGCTATGATTTTTGTTACTGTTGTATCAGATACAAGTGGATTGGTTTGCAATCACCATGCATAATGATGAATTTCAGTTGATAATCGATGAATTCGTTCTTGGTATCAAGAAATAATATATAATGGAGGTAACCTCTATGATTTTGTCAAACAGGAATTTGATATCAATACCAAGTTTATCTTTCATCTCAGTCGATTCAAATGAGGTCCAGGTACTTCACGATTCATTATAGAGGTGAATTTAATCAGGAAGTCACTTACAAGTAACAATATATTGTTGACTATTCCACTCTTGATCTCGAGAACCAATCAGAATGAACTATTTTCACGGTTTCTTCAGTATTCTAGCGATATTTTTTGTTCATTGAATTTTATCGGACTTGCTCTACCAATACCGAATTGACCCACACGTGACCAAAGAACCTCGTTTATCAGCGATACAATTTTGACATCGTGTCTGGTCAAGATTGCTTTGGATTTTAATCTGAGACAATAACCTAGGCACCTACTCTATTTTATTCACTTATAATTCGCGTTAGTGAGACATTTTGTACGAAAGGCGAGACAATTTTATTCTGGCTGGACGTTTCATGTGTAATCTGAAAAGTTTGCAAATTTGTTGACTGTCTGACACAAAAATACTAGAATTCAAATTCCTTTCCAAAGTAATCCCAGCAAACATCTTGATATGGGGCATTGATGGCCTAGTATATTTTTCCCATACCTGACATCAGCGGCCCAGTAAATGGTCCCATATGCGGGACTCTATATATCAGTACACTGCGGCCGGCAGCTGGTCCCAGTGCTGGGTACCCAGCAATCATATTCAGTTCCCCGGCAAAAGGCCAGTACAACATAATCGACACATTGAGTTTCCCATAGCAAGCCCAGCATATACATAAATGATGGGACTGTAATGGCCAATTAACGACATTGGTTACATACTATCGAGGTAGGGGAGGAGTAGGGGTTTTAGGGGTCCAATGGATCTGAAAGTTCTAGTACCTCTTTATTTCACAACAGAACCCTCTCATCATGAATCAGACACATACCAGATTTCAAGAAAACAATTTTATGAATGACACAATGATATCTTCTTAACCTCTCTGTTCTTCAACGATGAAACTTCTCGGAGTGACTGCTTACTGGTTGGTGTGGTATCTACATCTTATTGGGTAGCATTCATTCGAAGTTGATTCTTCGTTGTGAGGTACTTCTGAAATATAAAATGAATCATTTGTTTCATATTAGTGCTACATGAGTTGCATGAGTTTATAACTTGATAATATAGTCAAATGACGTGATAACATGGAGCTTTTCAATTTTGATTATGGTGTTGGCACAGGTAATTCTATAGCTGAAATCTTATTGTTATCCAGTTATTCAATATAGAGATAGGTTCACATAACCTGAGATTGCTCTTGATAACAACAAACTAGTTGAAAATGATGAAATGAAGTTGCTTTGAGAGAAGTATAGTTAACTCCAATTATCATAATCATTCGGTATATGAGGTTACGAGATACCAAACACATGCATCAAATAATGACATTCAAAACACTATGTAGGTACATTGATACTTACTCAATATTATCATAATTGAAGACTCTGTCTTCTATTATTATCAATTGACAATACTCCTGCCATCATGAATAACCACCACGGAAAGAGAGGACCACATCAATTCGACATAAACAAACTAGACGCGATCACCACTCGCGAGAGTCAGCCATCTTAGTTACAAATGATATTGATCAGCTGATTGTTGATGTAGACGTTCTCAAAACATCCGCCAGGGGGACGGGTAGTGAATATGAAATTGGCCAGCAAAGGGCCAGATCTCGTTAGTATTCAATTAGTTCCAGACATCCTACCATCACAAGGCCATCATCGTATTTTTAACTGATGGTTACTTGGCATGGGAAAATCATCGGCCCATTACCTATACCCCGGCATCGTCACTTTCCCAGACTAACCTGCACTAGGCCGGACTTCTCCCGCTAGTTCAATGTTTGCTGGGATCTTCTTCAATCACTCAAGTTATTGTAGATAATGAAATTACTGGATGATGTAGCGCAATTGGATAGGGTTGTTGCGCGAAGATACGAAGGTCGATGGTTCGAGCCCCTCGGCGACGATATTCTTTTTTTTAAATTATTTCATGTCATAAATTCAATTGATTTTGTTCGAATTGTATAGCAATTGTATACACTCTTCTGAGAGCAACCATCTTCAGGATAATAATAAAAATACTGTTTATCAAAATTTTACATTTTACTTTGTGAATAACTATAAAAAGGTAGCTAATTTCTAAAACATCGAATTCTGTATTTCATTACAATCATTATATTCTCTTTCGCAGTTTGGGTTGGAATATACCCAGATTATGTTTCTTATTTCTTATACATATTGACATACTCCAGCTTGCTGCTTTGATTTCGCTCATGACATTGATCCAAAACATAACAATGTCATTCACGAAATTACTAGGCAACAAGCTGTCGTAACAATCAACAAATATTTCTAGCAAAATTTCATCACTTGTGGTATTACATATGAAAAATCGATATAGTTACGATGATGACCCAAGTGCTACAATCTAAATAACTAAAAGGATTGAAAATTTTCAGGTTCCTGGAACTGACAAGAAATTACCAGTATACTTATTTATCCATGGTGGTGCATTCATTGGAGGGAGTGCAAGTAATTTTGGTCCCAAGTATTTGATAGATGGAGATATAATCGTTGTAACTATCAACTACCGATTAGGTCCTTTAGGTGAGGAAATGAAAATTAGATACTCATGTTCATCTAAAAAAAAAAATGATTGCGTGATTGCTGATCGATTATCTTTGTTTCATCTGTATATTTATCATCTAATTACGATCCATACAAGGTCTTTCGCTTCCATCAAAAAATCAAATATCCGAGATCATCTTATTATATCAGGTGACATTGACGCAGTAGACGGACATTCGACTAATGTTCGCGAGGTCATTGGTTCTTATCTCAGCCAGCGCAAGATTTTTTTTATTTTCGATTTGAGCGAGTCACTGCTGCGTACCAATCAACACTGCTGCTCCTAAGGTGGCGTATGGAGTTAGAAACAAAACCTGCGCTGAACATAAACATCATTGCAGATCACTTTGGGCTGAATATCTTCACCCAGACAACGAATAAAATGTTATGAATATTCTGACAACGTTGAAATATACGTACTCAATTTGAGATATTCTTATAGAATATTCTCGAAATGACTATAGAATATTTCCATTCTGCGATATTCCATATTTTCTATACGATTCTTCTCCAGTCAAATACAAATATAGGCGATCAATGGTAATCTGAGTGAATTTCTTTTAATATCATCCATTTCTGAATCTCTCTAATCATCTCCACAGTTTTTGACGTTCATTCATTTTGAATGAGTTTTGCACATAATTTCAGAGGATTATATTTCATTGAAGAAGTACCAAGTCGCATATTTTTGCAACATCGTTCAATGGTGAGCTGAATTTAGTCTCAAAAGATTATTCAGGCGTGTTCCAATTTATCAATAAGCTCGGGAAATTATATTCATCGACATTCTGGAGATCGTTCCCAACTTCCATAATGATCAGTCATTTGATGAAACGGATATAAGTGATTATGTAAGTTCCACTTCTTTTATATAACTCAGCACACTCTACTTCTGAGGTACAGGTTTTAATTCCAGTCTAGACTATGCGGCCCCTGAGGCCACGCACAGTCGATCTGGATTGAATAAAATAACCACTTTCCCCAACTCGCGAGGCGAGTGATTACTGGGACCAAGTGCTCTGAGCAGAAGCAATGAGTATGACGGCATTTTGTATTCTATACCATACCATGTGTGTCTTCGCACGGCCTGTTAGAATCATTACAATTTTTATATCATTATGATTGATTTTATCATAATCATCATCATTTTCATCCATCAGTATTGTTCAATTTTAATTATATAGGTATTGGTATTTGGTATTGGACCAAGTGCTCTGAGCAGAAGCAATGAGTATGACGGCATTTTGTATTCTATACCATACCATGTGTGTCTTCGCACGGCCTGTTAGAATCATTACAATTTTTATATCATTATGATTGATTTTATCATAATTATCATCATTTTCATCCATCAGCATTGTTCAATTTTAATTATATAGGTACATGGAGTTTCAAATTACATTTTGGATTTTAGGTTTCCTCTCTACGGAAGACGGAATTGTATCTGGAAACATGGGTTTGAAAGACCAGCACCTAGCTTTGCAATGGACTCACAAAAATATAGAATTATTTGGAGGTAACCCAAATGATATAGTGATAGGTGGTGAGAGTGCTGGTGCATTCTCTGTTAGCCATCAGCTCCTCAATTCAAGAAATAAAGGTGAGTTTCATATGCAAAGATATTCTCAATCGAAATAAAATGCCTTCACTCTCATGAAACATATTAAAAATCGAATGATGATGATATATGCAATATCAGGGCTAGCCGACGAACCGGTCTGGCCTCATATGTTTTGACTTTGTGACTCACGATATTGTTTCTACCTAATCCCATAGTAGGTTTGAAGATCATTCTTTACCGTTGAAGCAACCTTTCAAATTTTTTTGTTGATTGTTGAAGAAGTTACTTGCAGCTAAGACGAGTTTTCCGAAGCTGTCCACCTCTCCAGTGATTGCTGTCACCTGGTAGATTATGGAGATTTCAAGAAAGCAGGTTCTGAATTCCGATTTTCAGCAAATAGTCCTTGGATTATTCTTTTTCCAGATGAATTGAACAGGAACATGTTCGTATATTGACGACAACTGAGATTCTTCGTTCGATCTCCTCGTAATGGTTCCAGGGTTCCATTACAGTTCTGCTGTCTTGTTTCAATTATATATCCTCCATATGAGGCTTTATTCAATCGCTTCAATTTGTTTCGATAGTAGTACGTCCTTTTTTATTGTTACCTCTATTCGCCGATAAAGGTCAATCTCTGCTGCACTCATCTCGAATATTTGCTTCTGGAGTTCAGTTGGATCATCCACGCACCAATGATGTTCATTCATAGAGAAACTAATTCATTATCTGCCGAAATGATTCTACATTGAAATTCGATGGTCTCGATCAGGATATCCATATCAATTTTCCCATAGACGGTGCCAGCTTCACCTGTAACGGTTTACAGATATCTTCTCAAGTTTACGAGTGACTCTCCACCAATGTCCACTAACAGTGCACATTTCCATACCAGGCCATCCGAACGTCTTCGTATAGATGGTGGTAGTATCACGGTATAAGGGTGCTACGAAAAAAAGCAGGTCTTTTGAATAACGGGTCGAAACTAACTTCTTGGGGTCGAGTTCCTCAAGATTATTTGCATCTGAACTGCTTTTTCATTCATCTCAGAGCCCTCTCTGGCTTCGATGAGGATTTCATTGGAATAATAAATGAGGTTCGCTTCCATGTTCCCACTCTCACTTATGGCTCTCGTGGAGTTTATATCTCGGCTTCGGCTCCTTACGCAGGAAGGAGAGTACTAGTGCAGTCTTGAGGTTGAATCAGACGTATAGCTCTTTGCATTCAGGTATCTCGTGATCCATTCACGAAGATTTGGACTGCAAAACATTTCATTAGGCCTCGAAGACTGACAAGTAGGAGCACAGAAACAACAGGGCTACATATACCTAACTCTCCTGCAGGTTCTTGGTTGCTCTTCGTAGACGGTGTGTCCTGGAAATCGATTACTCGTTGCAGATATTTGCTAGCACAGAGAAAGTCATTCGAACAGTTGCAAACTGCCTGTTCCTAAATGCTCTGGACTATAACCATTGATTTGTTGCTCATGAATAGAGATTTAATAAGATAAATCAGTTCAGCACAGGGCATTGTCGTTGCTCCTCACATCACAAGCCCATAAGTCTCGTTCACTTTCACGCACATGGCATTTATCACTCCATTCAATGATATGAATGGATAGTGATGCGAATCATCCAATTGGGTATCGAGATATTGCCATGCGATACACTTGATAATGTGTTGTTATCAATTTCACTAAATGAATCATCTGAGTGGTGTGGAGATGATGAAATTCTGTTGGGATCTTGACTAAAGCTTCAGAAAAGATTCACACTGCGTTTGAAATATTCTCATTCTCATCTCAATTCTACAAATCCATCTCCGATTCCGAGACAACATTGTTTTTCAGATTTTGTCCATTCAGCTGAAATATCTTTCGACTTGGTTGAACGTCAGATGCTGTGGCCTAATTATTTGATGAAGGAATTAACTTATGATCATTTTGCAAATGATTCTTTGGGGCTAACTCCCTATCCCATTTTATTTTTCGTTTCCCGAATAATGAAGAATATTCCCTTCATGGGAGCCAATCCAACGTCGATATTGACAACTCACACAGCGGTATGTTACTGCTTCATGATCATATCCTGATGATATCTAGTGATTCACATACTGATCTAGCAAGCAAATATGAAAGAATATTTTGCCGAGAGTAAGTTGACAGTCAGCACACACAAAATAAATTATATTCTGTAGAGGCGATCGACTTTCCAATTTCAATTACGAATGAATGAACCCTAGAGAAATAAACAAATCACTCGCATCCTGGGGTGATATTTTCTCCATTTGTTCACTCGGAATATTCATTCGAAGATTTCTTCATCGAATCAAATCGTGCTATGATAGCTGATATGAATATAATGTGAATGAATGATATCAACTCATAGCATGATAGCTTAGTATTGATTGAATGCAGAATTCTGTCATCTACGGTCATCGCTCCTCACTCCATGGAGAGTTTGAGTCTTCGTTATTAAGGTGGCCAAGCTGACTTGAAACAAATGTTGCAGGTTCTGGTCAATAAATTCAAGCAAGGATGATTATTTTCCCGTGGATGAGTGATTTGTGTACTCGCTCATCAATTATCATTACCATGTTCTACATCGAGGAATCGAATATTCACACGTGGATAGTTCATCCGTTTGACCTTTTTTTTCATCGCTTGGTGTGCAAAAAATGGCATCCTTGTAATGTTCGAAGAACTTGGAGAACATCGTGCGTACCTAGGAATGATAGAGGGAGAAGAAAGACGTTGGAATTTTTTTGGAATTTCTGGGGATTATAAGTCCTTTCTCCTCTTATTCAGGGCGAATCTGAGAGTGTGTTTTGATTCAACTAAATATATATCTCATCAAGATGAGTAGTTTGTTCTTGGTATACCAAGGTATGTCATACCACAAACCAACCATTTATTAAGAAAGCAGAACAAATCGAATGTTGCTTGTTTAATTAATTAAAGAGATCTACAATATTTTGCCGATTAGTCTTATATAACCCTATCGAATACAGTGACGATAAAAGCTCAGATTTTTGTTTTATCAGTCTCTCTGACTATATATTGATGATTTGAATCATATCCAGGTGCTTCAGTTGCCCATTTGACATTCGATTATCGAACAATATTATCCAGCATACCTTTCGTGAGAAATAATAGCCAACAATCAAGCCCAGTATTCTTCTGTCGTGAAATTATCTTCACACCAGGCAAATGTGAGATCGTTTTCACGTTCCTATCGTTGGGAAATCGTGACCATTTCGATTCATTCTTGTCTGAAACATATCTGGTATCGTTTTCATCATGTGAGCCAGCAGATTGCGAGTCAGGTTGTTCTCTAGATTCTTCTGATCCCTCTTACCTGTCTTTCATGTACCTCTCACTGTGCTACTTTTCCATTCACGATTTTCGCTCCTTCTTCTCTCGGAGTTTCATCTCTATTGTATTCGGACCCATCATCTATGGATGATTCCACCTCAGAAATATCACTCCAAACTCTTTTCATGATTTATGATAATTTCGTTGATATTCTTCGTGTGACATTCTGCTGAAAACATCGTCTGAATAATTGATTTATTCTGAAGAATACGATGAAGATCAATAACTCACCTACGAAATCAAGATACACAAAAAGTCACGTCAGTAGTGTTCTGGGGTATAAAGTACCCGAATCGTCTTTCACGAGATCTTATTTCGTACTGAATGTTAGTAGACCTACGCAAATGAGTCTTGTATGTAGGAATATATACATTTTCAAGCTACTGACCGTCAGAGGTCGCTCAATTGCGAGAATCACGTTGATGAAGCAGTGTTGATCTAGGTGTTGAGGTATGACATACCACAACACCAACGAATGGTTGAAGAAGACTTCAACTATAAAATATTTTGTTTATATTTTTATCCGAAAAAAAGAAGAAAATGGTCGTTTTGAGTCCAACATGAAATACCCTACAGTGTCATTATTTCATCATAAAAATTGATCAGGAACCTCTCACATTTTCCTTCAGAAGTGGACCAGAAAAACTCCAGGAGGGAATTGAAGCATGTGGCCAAACAACTGATTTTGATTTTTTTTTGTATAGATTACCTATCCGTTGTTATCAGGAGAATCATCTCCAACAATGAATCCATCTGCCTATTCATTGAATTCATTTTAGGGTATCGTTTTATCCATGTTTTGTATGAGCTAATCAGATGATTTGAAATTCCCTGATACTTTCTTGAAATTGATGAGCATTTTTCACGGAGGGCATGAAGTAGAAAACCAACAGTATTGGAAAATCTAACCAAATACTAACTTTTCATCACATCATAGTTGAAAATCTCCACAGAAGACAACTTCCACATTGGTCATATGGATTTTTCAGAAGCACTATTGAATAATGTGGCAATGATTCATCATTTACAGAATCAGGCAGTATATGCCAACATTTGAGAACTCACAGACAATATTGGAAAGTATTCCTTTGTACTACTTCAGTTTCATGGAATCGACTTGAATGTCGCTTCCTTCCCAGTTCAAGTTATTTTGATCATCCTTTCAGCCTTTTTTTGTCATATTGAATACTGAAGAGTATTTTCTAGGTCTTATCAGTGGGATAATTCAAGAAAGTGGTACTGCTATCAGTGGTACTGCTTTCAGTGCTAATGGAGTAGATTCAAGGCCTAGGCAAAAAGCATTCGCTTTGGGAAGAGCTCTCAACATATCTACAGCAGATGGTGATACCAGTAGTCTCATTGAAGCATTGAGAAACACTCCAATAGAGAAACTCATTGCAGCTGCAAATCAGGTAATACATCAACGTATTCAAGGTAACTATATAGTGGAATGAAATAAAAAATCGAATACATGTCAGTTTCGGAAACGAAATATTTTCAGTAGTTCAAATCATCAGTCATCATTGAAATCATCAATATATATGTATCGAAAATAGTACTAGATATTCATCATTTCCACTTGAACAAAGATGAATACTCACTTCAGTACAAAGTGCCCCAGTTGGGCGCTAGAAGTTGATGAATTATTGAAATTATTTCCTTCGTATAAATTCAGGTATGAATAGGTGGAGACAATTACATTTTCGAATTGATTTTATGATACCTCTCTGGTAATGAAACAATAAAAACTTCGAGTCGGTGTGAAACATGACAGACAGACAAAGCTACTGACGAAATAACATACATATCTTAAAGAAATGTAAAATTACAAATTTTTTAATTTGATGCTGTGTCAATGAACCAGAAATTCAGACCGGTTACGAAATCAAATATTCTTTGAAACAACTGAATAGCCAAAATAACAACCTGATTATGAAATATAACATCGAATCGAAATAATAGGGAAGAATTGGGATGAAATTCACTCAGCAAGAGTTTCATCACTGGTGTCCATAAGACGAAGGCTGCTAATGACTGTGTGACAAGTGATACAATTCAATATAACATTCGATCAACTCAATGACCTGAATAATATCAAGAATTGTGACATTGTTGTGAAAATAATGATTTCGAATGCAGAAATATATTATTGATGAATAGTTGAAATTAGAATTGATGCGTGATTAGGCTGAGATCTGATGAATCAGCTGAAAGAATGAAAAGTGTCATGTAGTGAAAATCATGAAAATCAGGAAAGAAAACGAACAGGACCCGTCCTACTGAAATTAAAAACGGCATTATTCAATTCTGAGAACTTGTGGGAGTGCGAGAAATATGTGGGCAGGTTCAAAATTGGATTGGTGATTGGGACAATTGACATTTGGGTTGTTGATACATCTTCAAATTCTTTAAATTTCTAGGAGGTTCAGCAGTGAACCTTCATTGCAAACATTGATAATTTCTGTAATGGAATTGACATTTGAAGGATAACTGGAATCGATAATATGATTTGAAAAGGATGGGGTATTGTAAGAATCATCTGTCATGTTCCAATTCACGAATTCTGAAACGTTCAACCGTTTGGCACAAATAAGAATAGTTACTCTCGATAAAATTCAATTCGTGTACACCAGATTCACTGGTCTGGAGTATTTTGTCTTTGGGATCCAGAAGTAACTGTTTCAGATTGGAATAAGTTTTGTAGGGAATATAAATACATACATTTGATAGAATGATTACCTTAGAAATGAACGGATTCAGAAATTGTCTCGAAGTGACGAAGTAATTTCATTTATATCCAGTTTTGAATTCGGAATGAATCTTCATGAAATAATCCCAGGAAAACCAATTGATATGCGCCTTTCGTTTGATAATGTTAATCTCCCCATCAGAGGCTGGTCGGAAAGAGGTGATAAGAAAACCATATCTCTACGTTTCACAGGCTAAATATCTGATATGAGAAATTTATGTATCAAGGGTGCGAAGTAGGCTTGAATGGATCGCAGCTTGAAAGTTAGACACGCTAGGTCCATAATATTTATTTATGTATCAAGGGCGTAAAATAGGCTTTTATGAACCGCAGCTAGTTACGCCCGAAATACATACAACATTTTATGCACTAGCGGGCCGCAAAGTGCAATTTATCGCCCGGTTTTGCGGGCGTTAAGTTGCACTTTACCGCCCGCGGGATCATTATGGCCCACGGGCCGTAAAGTGCACTTCACCGCCCGCTGTTCTCAGTTTCCTCATGTCCACATATCAATTCATGAAAAACATATGATCATTTTCCTAAATTTTTCGGGATTCGCTCTCCTCGTGAATTGAACATTGCACCTCCTCGATTTAACCTTCATACAGTATTTGAATACCTATATATTGTCCACCAGTCAATAGATTCAGATCAATGAAGGAAAACTCTTCTTACCAACATTTATTCATTAATTGACAATTCCTTTAATATCAAATTATGTCATGAAACTGAATATTAAAATTTTATGTTAATAATACAGTTGGTACAGCTATCAATGCTGAGATTTGGATATTCATTTTCTTCTTGAAGACAATTATTGGAACTTCTTGGGAGCTGCTGCCTAGTATCGGCATTGCTACGAGAACAATGAGTTGTATTAATTTTAGAAGTCGATGGTTGGTTTGAATGATCATCTGGTATCATTCCGATATCATCGCTGGCAATTTTTTTAGCAATATTGATTTTATTTGATATTGATTCTTCAATATAGCTTTCAGCTACTGTAGTTGATTTCCATCCAGCATGTCTTTTGATATTGGTGATACCTACCCCCGCATCAGCCAATAAAGTGGCTGAAGAACGCCTGAAACAATGACCGGTATATTCTTTTGGGCTCGTTAGCTTCAAAAATGTTGCAATTTTCGAAGGGATTTGACCGAAAATATTCTTTCCAACAACTTGTTTTGTACATTTGTTGTTCTTATAGAATACAAAAAACCGCCTATGTTCAGTATCTGCGGGTCGTAGACTAGCGTATTTCCTATAAATACGCAGATAATTAACTGGTTGGTTTTGAGTATCGATGACTGTAAATGTTCGTTGAATTTTAGTTTTCGATTCTCTAATTGTAATCAATAAAGTATCAGTTAAATCTTGAATGTCATCAACCATAAGATTCGTTAATTCTTCTCTGCGACAGGCACCAATCATCAGTTTTGAAATTTCTCAAAGAATAAATTAGGTGGATCATACCTTGATCATTAAATAATCGTCATCTGGAGATTTTTTCAAAAAGAGTTCAATTTCATTCCTCTTCAATATTTTAGACTTTTTTGGCTTATATCCATCATTCTTCCTTTTCAAAAATGCTATCAATCTTGGGTACTTGCTTATGTCGGTATTATTATGCAAATTCAGAGTTGATTTCAACATCGAATAGTATGACCACAAAGAGGAGGGTTTACGATCCTTAGATTTCTCAAAAAAATATGCTAGTAGTACATCTTCTGTGATCATCTTCACATTATTCTCATCACCCCATCTGATAAATTCAAATGCGTCTTTTCATATAATTTCTTTGACTTTGCATAGTAATTCGAGATTTGCATTTTCCGCTGATTCTAATATATCCCGCGGTATCTGATAAACTTCCTCTGTATCCGATTCCATAGTCTCGCTTGGTCTCGCTATTATTATTGTCACTAATTTTACTTTTCAGTCAAAGAATGACAATTCAGCTTGTTTATTGAATGTATTGCTATTGCTATAGACAACAACCATCAGCTTGCTTGACAACGTCAAAATTAGGTAGGTATATATACTGGGTATGCATATTGTGAAATTCTGATAAATGAACCTCTTCTAGAGATCGAAGTGTTTAACTATTACGATAATTGCAATATTCGTACGATAATTTTTATATGTAAATCATCCATGAACATTACGCTTTCCTTGATTACTGAATTCATATGAAACAAATTAAATTCGGGGGAATATTAGTTTATCGAAATCTGTAGTCATTACTTTTGGGAAAATAAACCACTAGTGCATAAAATTTTGTATGTATCACGTGCGTGAAATGCGTTTATGGCCTTCAGCGTGTAATGGCCCTCGGCTAGCGCCATTATTCACGCCACAGGCCATAAACGCCTACTTCACGCCCTTGATACATGAATAACTATTATGCACGACCTGTTTATATTCGATATCTCATGTAGGTATCTCTTCTCCCCTCAAACCCAATAGAAATACATCACGGTTGCAGTGAGGCTGTATTGTATCCATATCGCAAATACGATTAATCAAGAAGTATGGAATCAACGTTACCATGGCAACTCAGTCAATTTTCCGAAATAGGAATTAATAGGCCAGTAGCCATATTAACTGTCAATTTGTGTAATCATACATAATTCATTAGTGATTTCAAAATGAATTCTAGTGATGAAGAAAGTGTGAATTGTAGTCCACTAGAAATTAGTGAGGCAGCTGAGGAAGCAAAATCGAGTTAATTGCCAAGTGAATCAAGAAAAAAATATACGACAAAGTAAACGAAGAATTCTTAAGCTGGTGCGGCAGAAATGATGTAAAAAATAAGAACCACATTGAAAGTGTGCTTCTTGTCTATTTCCTGGAGAAATCATTTTGCATTGATTGAAACCATTCGAATCTAGATTTTTATCGATATGACAGTGACATTAGCTTTACCACCAGCTGAATGACTTAATCGCCCACCGGGCGTTGAAGTGCTACTCTACGCCCGGTCGTGCATAAAAACAACTTACGCCCGAGATAAATGATATCATGAACTTCCGTTTTTGACATTCATTCAATGTCAATATAGTTTAGTGAAGCTGAACATAAAGAAAGAGTCGTGCTTGCGAAAGTTCTGGTTGTTCTGAATTCTTTATATGTTGTTGGGATCTGTACCGATATTGAAAAATCAGTTTTGCAATTTCCAAACTGCCGTGAGAGCGGCGGCATACCCAAAATACAATGAAATTCTCGACTTTTTTCTGTTTTTTAGAGAAGGACGGGTTTGATCGGTTTAATCACCATGTATACTTTCGAATTATACTGAATTTATACTCAAATGTCAAGATGAGCCCCATACAGCAATTGGTTCCCAAGATACAGTTCTCTGAAAATTGGCAATTTTTTCGAAAAAGTGAAATTCCTCCAAAATGGTCATATATTTTGTGAGTTATCCTCTGTAATACGCTTCCAACGTGAAATATAATATGTGATGAAGTTGGAGAGAATTCAATAAGGATTGTTTCATCTGTAAGCCCAGCGGTTCTCTCAAAAACGGCAGATATTCAAGAACAACCATAAGTTAGTATTAGGGAATAATGCGAATGAACTGTTCTCACGTCTTTTCATTTCCTATTGATCAAACAGTTACAGTTTGTTCATTTCTGATATTATTGAAAAATTGTTTGATGA